TAAACATCTTAATTAGTGAAATGCTGGTGATAATGATACAATAATAAGGAAAGATTTATTGGTATAGGTTAACAAAAAAAAATCAGTTTTTGCCACGGTAGAAAGACCTAGATTCTATTTATATCCTGAAATATGATATAAAATAAAAGGGGAAATGCAATAGTCTTTTCTACCTGCAACAGTTACTTTGAAGGTCAGTTTCTGGCCATCTGCTTCACAGGTGTAATCGCCTGCATCTTTCTCCTCCACCTGTTGCACTACTAGACGACGGGATTTGCCTTCTGCTTCTACCTTGAATTTTTTGCTGGCAGTGATCAATTTTCCATCCTTGACCCATTTGACTTCTGTCTTGGCCTGGGCCACCTCACAGCTGAGAGAGGCGTTCTCTGAAGGCACAGCCTTGATCTCCTTCTGGATCTTCTCCTTGTTGACAAACACCTCTTCAGCTTCTGGACCATGACGAAACCCACAAAGAATGATAAAAATTACTTAGAAGGTTAACAGAATCTTTATTCAGCTTTTGTTCTAATGATTCTAGGGTTATCTAACACTGATGAAATTTTGCTGTTGTGCTCAACTTCTGCCCGATTTCCAGCTACATGGAATATGCATAAGGGAAATGTAGTCCTGCACTAGGGAAAACTGTTTGCAGAAACAAACCTTTGCATTGACACAACTTGAAGCTGTTCTGTTAGAGCTTCTGAGAGCTCATTTCAACAATCAACATAATAAGTATTTGTTTGGCCACATTTATCTCCATATATAGGAGGATGTAATGGAAAATATAAAGGCATTTGTACCTGCAACCATGATTTTGAAGGTCAGTTTCTCGCCATCTGCTTCGCAGGTGTATTGGCCTGCATCTTTCTTCTCCACCTGTTGCACAACCAGCCGATGGGATTTGCCTTCTGCTTCTACCCTGAATTTCTTGCTGGTGGTGATCAGTTTCCCATCTTTGAACCATTTGACTTCCATCTTGGCCTGGGCCACCTCACAGCTAAGAGAGGCGTTCTCTGAAAGTACAGCCTTGATCTCCTTCTGGACCTTCTCCTTGTTGGTAAACACCTCCTTAGCTTCTCTATCTAACAGTCGAAGAAGAAGGGAAGACATGCTAAATAATTCTGCCACCTCTTTGGTGGCAACATCTATTAACCATTAACAGCTAAATCATGAGCCTGTTGTGATTCCAGACTCAATAAGCTATACATGCCTCATAAAATATCATCTTTCTACATCAACCTTGTACAGATTAATCCACAACATACATGTTGTGAAACTACATTTTTTCCTATATATTTTTCTTATTGCATGCTATTAAGTAATTAGCCTCAACTAATAATGCTGGTTTTCATACACTGTATTATATGAAGAGACTGCAGTTCCATGCAAACTGTGTCCTTTATGCTGAGATAATCCCAAATTTGGTTCTTGTCATCTTCAGCCATAGGGATCAGGAGCAATAATGGGGGAAAATAAATCTCAAGTTGAGTCCCTGGAGAAACACTGCCAATCTAAATAATACACACTCAAAGGGACAAAGAATCCAACTTAATGTAAGACCAATTCCTTCTGTGCCTATGTATACTTTTGTATTAAATATTTCAACATCTGCCTCTCAATTTCCTTCCAGACACAGATAAAATATATTGATAAATGTTCAGTGTCCTTAAAATTTTTTTGTAGAACTCATTGGTATCCTGGGAAGATGTTCTGAAAAACAGGAGGGTAACATCTGGAAGTAGAAAAGGAATCTGCATAACCAGGATGATCTAGTTTAGGAACCTGGGAATTGGAGAGGAAGTTTCATTCATGCTGGCAGCTGGGGCATCAAAGATGGAGAAAGGTGATTTTGGCCACAAGATGTAAAAAGATTGGAGTTGGGGATAGAGGTGAGGATGTATTTAGAAGCCAAACCCAACTCTACTGTTGGGTTTGCTTCCATTAGAAATGGTAATAAATCCAACATCTGTTGGGCAGGGAACTCAGGTCTGATAATCCCAGGATGATGAAGAATTAAAAATGCACAAACACGTAAACATTGCATTAATGAACAAGAAGTATCTTATTGATAGTTTGAATTAAACACCCAGATGCAGTTTCCTGAATATGAAGACCATGCAAGATTTCCAGTGATATGTATTCTGCTCTAAGAAGACTGCTTTTTCCCAGATTCCACTCTGGATGAACTTGATCACTGCATCCTTGACTCTTTGAAATACATGATCATGTGATTAAAGGGGAAAAAAACTTGCACAAGCACAATTCAAGTTTTTGTGCAAAAGAACTCTGAGAGGGAATCAATACTGTGAGTAATCAAAATGTATACATTTCATCATGATAGAAACTGACTGAATGCCATTCTAAATCAATAGAACATAAAGGAAAATATAAAGACACTCGTACCTTCAACAGTGACTTTGAAAGTGAGTTTCTGGCCATCTGCTTCGCAGGTGTATTGGCCTGCATTTTTCTTCTCCACCTGTTGCACAACCAGACGACGGGATCTCCCTTCTGCTTCTACCTTGAATTTCTTGTTGGAGGTGATCAATTCTCCATCCTTGAACCATCTGACTTCTGTCTTGGCCTGGGCCACTTCACAACTGAGGGAGGCGTTCTCTGAAGCAACAGCCTTGATCTCCTTCTGGACCTTCTCCTTGTTGGCAAAGACCTCCTTGGCTTCCTTATCTAACAGGGGAAGCAGAGGACAAGGCACATTTATTCACTTTTTCTTTTTGGGCATTTTGCCCTTTCCCATAATAGCAAAAGTAATAAAAATACCACCAATCCTCCAGCTCCATAAAGTATAAAACAAGCCAAACTAAAATGTCTAAGTTGTTTTAGATTATAGTGACCCATGTCAGTAAAATAAGTTTCCTTGGTACAGCTTTTGCAAAAAAAAAAAAAAATCCATTTATTTTTGCCAACATGGAGATACCCCAGTTCTGTTTGTATTGTGGTATATGATAGGAAATAAAGCAAAGGGCAACATCTTCTCCTACCTGCTACGGTGACTCTGAAGGTCAGTTTCTGGCCATTGGCTTCGCAGGTGTATTCGCCTGCATCCTTCTTCTCCACCTGTTGCACAACTAGACGGCGGGATTTCCCTTCTGCTTCTACCTTGAATTTCTTGTTGGAGGTAATGAGTTTCCCATCCTTGAACCACCTCACTTCTGTCTCAGCCTGGGCCACTTCACAGCTGAGGGAAGTGTTTTCTGAGAGGATTGCCATGACTTCTTTCTGTACCTTCTCCTTGTTGGCAAACACCTCCTCAGCTTCTTTATCTAGTGAGGGAAGGGGAGGGCAAGAATTATTCATTAATTACTTCTTTCTGCTGGCAGTTTGCAGTTTCCATTGACTACTAAACTCATGTTCTTCGGAAAAACCCCAGGGCATGCCATACACATCACATGCCAGATAGGGCATAAAGGTCCAACATCTGAACCTTCTCTTGGTTGGCCAACACCTCTTCAGCATCTGGACCATGGTCCTCACTCCAACCCAGGCAAAACTTGAATAACCCCTAATAACAGTTATTCAATAATTAATGATTGCTTTAATTAAGTGTGGCTTCATGTAACATTAATGTATTTTCCCTGAAGGATATGGTGTGATATGGTTCATGGGGTCATGAAGAGTTGGACACGACTTAATGACTGAACAACAACAATACAAACTGTCCAAGATTTCAAGCTAACTGAACCACTTTTCTAGAGAAATGGGACTCATTCTCTCATTCCCAGAAGTATAAAACAAGCTGATCCAAATCTGAATCATTTCAGAGACATGCTGGCCAGGCCTAAGAGCAAATGTTTTGTGGGTGTGGGTTTGCCAAAATACTTATTCATTTTTGTCACAATAGAGTGAAGAAATGCTACTTATATCTGGAAATATGATAGAAAATGAAGGACAAAACAAAGGTATTTTTTCTACCTGTTACAGTTACATGGAAGCTTAGTTTCTGGCCATCTGCTTCACAGGTGTATTGGCCTGCATCTTTCTTCTCCACCTGTTGCACAACCAGACGACGGGATCTCCCTTCTGCTTCTACCTTGAATTTCTTGTTGGAGGTGATCAATTCTCCATCCTTGAACCATCTGACTTCTGTCTTGGCCTGAGCCACCTCACAGCTCAGAGAAGCATTCTCTGAAGTGATGGCCTTGATCTCCTTCTGGACCTTCTCCTTGTTGGCAAAGACCTCCTCGGCTTCCTTATCTAATAGGGGAAGCAGAGGACAAGGCACATTTATTCACTTTTTCTTTTTGGGCATTTTACCCTTTCCCATAACAGCGAAAGTAATAAAAATACCACTGATCCTCCAGCTCCATAAAGTATAAAACAAGCCAAACTAACATTTCTAAGTTGTTTTAGATTATAGTGACCCGTGTCAATCCAAAAAAGTTTCCTTGGTACAGCTTTTGCAAAAAAAGGTTTTAAAAAATCCATTTATTTTTGCCAGCATGGAGATACCCCAGTTCTGTTTGTATTGTGCTATATGATAGGAAATAAAGCAAAGGGCAACATCTTCTCCTACCTGTTACGGTGACCCTGAAGGTCAGTTTCTGGCCATTGGCTTCGCAGGTATATTCACCTGCATCTTTCTTCTCCACCTGTTGCACAACCAGACGACGGGATCTCCCTTCTGCTTCTACCTTGAATTTCTTGTTGGAGGTGATCAGTTCTCCATCCTTGAACCATCTGACTTCTGTCTTGGCCTGGGCCACCTCACAGCTGAGAGA